AAGGAAGGAAGGAAGGAAGGAAGGAAGGAAGGAAGGAAGGAAGGAAGGAAGGAAGGAAGGAAGGAAGGAAGGAGAGAGGAGGGAGGGATGGAAAGAGTGAATAAATAACTGGAAATTTATTCCACTCATCCAAAAGCTGGGGGTTGGCTAAAATGACCTATTATTCATTTATTTTATTTATTCCATTAGATTTAAACACCACCCAGCTCCAGAGTGATCCTGGGCAGCTCACAACTTAAAACTAAACAAGGATATAAAAGATACAAAATACAATATGAAATGTACACGATCAGCGTCTGCCCGGACTATGCTACCCCAAGGCCTAAGTTTTTAAGGTCTTCCAGAGAGCCATCAGATACATTTATCAAATGCATAAAGTCTTTATTTGCACAACACAAATAAAGTAATCCATGTTCCGGTTTGTATGGTACCCTGAACTATAACGGCTGGATTTCCGTAACATATAAAGGCAGAAAAGCCCTTCTCAAGGTGAATCGAAATTAGGATGCTGCAGAAATGCATCTGTTACATCTTTCCTTACCCTGGTTGTGTGAACCCAGCGCAGCACCCTCTGCCAGCTGTGGCACAGACATTCTGGGAAACATCTGCTCCCAAATTACCCTCCCTCTCCCTGGCTTATCATGGTCAGCCCCCAATACTCTGGAGTTTGACTTCTCCCTTTTCAATTTTTATTTCACAGTGTCTGGGAGTGGGACATGTGTGTGTGCGTGTGTCAAAAAGTCAAGATGGTGGTTAAGCAGTGTGATCACAGCCCCACTGCTTTTGCACATACAACACACAAAAGGGTGGGACTTTGTTCACTCTGCCACAACTGCCATCTTGACTTTTTTGACCCCTTGGGAATTGCCACTGATGTCTGTCTATCATCTATTTCTCTCTCTCTGTCTCTCTTTCCATTTCTACCTGTCTCCCTATCTCTTTATCAAATTCCATAAAAACTTATAAATTTGATTTAGTCATTCGCAAGCAGCATTTTTATAGCACCCACCCAAATGTGAATGGAACTAATGCAATAAAACATGATCAATCTCCCCATCCCCAAACCCAGAGTAAAACAGCTTCCCCCCCAAATATAAAAGAAAAATATCACCAGTTGCCCATTTCCCATGGAGCTTCAAAATCCCACTTGAATAAAAATGTTTTTGCAGCTTTGCAAAATGCCAAGGAGCACCTGTGAATATCAAGGTGGGGGGGTGTCCCAAACGGTCAGGGCTACCACTGAGATGTTCACAACTCTTTTGCTCTTCCACATTTGTGCTACTCTTGATAATTCAGTGCCCAACATGATTTTGGTTGTGCAAATCTCCGTCTTTCTACTGCTCAGTGAAGTGGGATCTTGGTTTTACAGGAATTAAGTTAAATTAAATTAAATTAAATTAAATTAAATTAAATTAAATTAAATTAAATTCAATATTAAATTACAGGAATATCCATGGGGGAATCAAGATGGCA